TTGTTTCACCTTGCCTGGAAATTCCAGGGTTGAAACAGGGTAAACAGCAAAGGATTACAAATGTAGATGACCCTCTCTTGAAATGGAGGCACTTCTGGTCTTTAGGAACGCTGAATAAACTAAAGAGCAAACTGAGTAATATTTACACTGAGAAGCTTAAGAGGGAAACTACGAGAACTTGTAGCTGACCAGGATTTATTACATACAAAGTTACTGGAAGTATTTCCAATAAATATGTGTTCGAAACCTTGGACTCTGGTTGTCCAAATATCAGAACACAAATAAATCTCTGAAACCTGCTATTATTTCAAAGATGGAACTTGTAGAGGGCAGCTGGAAAGAGTTTTATGCATTTGAATATTTAGACTTGTCAACATTGCAACATCTGTTGCAATTAATTAAATGCTAATTTGCTAAGACTGTCTTCCCCTTTGATAAGACCACATCGCATTGTTGTTTAAGTCCTTTTGTCTTCTGCCATTTCTGCCATGTGAAATTTAAACTTCTAAATTTAATTGTCTTAGCTTTGCCATCAAGCCCAGAAAATCTGCAGAGCTTCAATCTCTCTAATTCCCAAAAAAAAAAAAATCCCATCTCCCATCTTCTCTGCTAAATATCAAGTACCTAAGAAGTGAAGGAAGACAACCACAGTCAATCTTTCAACTCCTTCTCCATCCCACAGTTTTAAGAAATACTTCTTCAAAGCTTTCAAGAAAACCCTTAATCATAACAGCAGGAGTAGATGCAGGAGAAAAACTGATCTCTGCTAACTTTATTTCTGGGAATTCTTTGTATAGATTCTTATTTGAATCAGCATGAAGACTTATCTAGTGCACACCCTCTATGCTTAACAATCAAACCATAAATAAATATTTACTAATTTATCATCAGGGGAGTACAGTCCAAACCAGTTACTGTATCTCAAAGTTTATCCAACAGAGACAAGTACTCACAGAAAACCACAAAACTTAAACTCATAACAATGCATTCTACAAAAACATAATTACAGTTATATGACTAGCTGAAATTTGATAGCATGCATTTATTATAAATGATCAATTAATAATATATTGCCATACAGCAAATTTAAAGTGTGTAACTCATCACTGGAGTACATTGCTCTGCCTCAACAACCTGTTGATTTTATGCCATTTCAGTTAATATTTTCAATATATCAGTCAGTTACAACTTGATACTTTAATCTACCTCACTTCACTGAATACAGTGGTAGTAACATGGCGTTTTGGTGAAAAGGCTGCCATATAAGATTTCTAGGCAAAAAGCAAAACAGAGGTGGCAAAAAGCAGAACAGAGGTTCCTAAGGAAACAATTTGTCATCATATCATATGAAAATCTATTTGTAGAACCTTTTTTTATTTTCACCTTTGCCTGGACAGATAGTTACAGCATATGGTGATAAACTGCTAAGTAGTTATAATACATCACAACTACTGCTCAGTATTTGCAAGGCATTAAATGCAAACAGGTACCTCTTTGTAAACAGCAGCACAATTTATCTCATAGGAGGGAGTTTGCGTGACCATAAACTTAGTGAATTCACCGAACAGAGGAAGAAGAAGAGGGCACTGTGGAAAGGCCAGGTACTCCTGTGGAGGTAACATTGTCCCACCTATAAATCTCAACATTTAGTGTTTTGCCTCCTTATCGTACTGAAGGTTTCCTTGCACTGTCTTCTGCTCCTTCTACATTATTTTGTCTTGGAGACCTGGGAACTCACACAGGTCTGGCATCATCAACATAACAGATCACTGCCATAAAACATTAGGATGTCCTGAAGCCTCACACAACCCAACCACCCTAAGGAACCCTCAAAAGTCAGCTGTATTATTCCAGTCTGGCAAATACAAAATAACTTTTTTAGCCTATATGAAAGAAATATCTGACCAGCAGACTAACTCCAGACATGTAGCAATGAGCAAATACAAGGCACTTCCTGTTCCCACACATAGTGTCACAACCATAAGAAAAATTGTTCTGCAATAAAAAAATATCACATAGAAGCACATTTCTTTACACTTTACTCTTCAATAAAATGTACCTTGATAAGATACATTTTTTGAAAACTAAAATATTGTAGAATTACCACAATGAAACTTTATTTCACATAGAAAAATACATTGTTGCTTTGGAATTACTTTCAAGCGCCCAATATTTTAATATTGTTTAACAACATGAAGAAAGAGTACTTTGAATGTGGTATTTTCAGAAATAAATATCTAGACAATACCATAAGAATAGAAATTGCTAAGGTTTTCACCCTATTCAAAGCACTCATAACTCAGAATGCAACACTGATCAAAAAATCTTTCTATTTTTTATTTTCAAATTTTAATTCCTGTATATTGCTATAAGTTCAATGCATCAAAAAAGACCAAAGTAAAGCAAGTTCTTTTCATGTCATGTAGGAAAGGCTAAAACTGTTTTAGCCAAGAGAAATGTTCATTGCTTTGCCATTTTCATAATGTCTTTCATTTGCTTCACATAACTATGAACTATAATACTGCAGAGGATCCATTACAGAAAAAGCAATAGCCAATTGAACAGATGGGAAGAAGAAATGGAACCACAAAGGGAGAGAGTCTAAGCTGTTTGTTCTGTAGTAGTTATGAGCCAATAAACTAGACCTTTATCAGAAATAAGAACCTAAGATTACCATTAACCTGTAAGACAGGAAAAGGGCACTACAGACTCACCTCATATGTTCCCTCTGCCACTGTTTATTTCTCCCATTTTTCTTCATCTTTGTCATGTGCTTACACCATTGGCCTCCAGAAATCTTTTTAACCTGCACATTGGAGGCTTTTTTAAGCACCCCTCCACTTAAACAGCACCTGAATTGCTTACATAGAGGAAGCCAGCTGGAGCAGCCACACTTGTCTTTTTTCACAAATACAGAGCAGCCAGAGGTCTACACTTGGACAAAAAAAGCATTTCAAGCCAGTGTTATTCCAGGACTACAAAAATACAGAATTTTGTTGAGGCCCCACATGGAATACAAGTGATCACTTGATTTCCTGCGATGAAAAAACATTCTTCTGCACCAGAAGGAAGGAAGCAAGAGAAGTTCCAACCTGGAGCATACCCTCAGGGTTTTTATCTCACATTTTCAGGTTGCTACTTCTAGCCACAAGCAATTCCTGAGCATGGGTAATAGTGCAGTTTCAAACTGTTGTTCTTTGTTTCATCACTATCTAAGCATTATATATTACAGAATTACAGTTTCCCATACACTTCCGTAACAGCAAATCCTCTACAAAATGACAGACCATTCTTACACTGTTCTTGGGAAAATCAGATTTTAAATGGGAAAATAAAATGTATATCCTTAAAGTTGTTTGTTAATTATCATCTCCTTGTCATATTAAAATAAGGTATCTCTTTACTGAACTTGGCATTCAAACATTAAATTGGCTGATGTAGTGATTTGTAGGCACACATGAATACGGCACTCACAGAAAGGAGATAGAAGTTCACACAGTTTAATGAGAATTGATGATGGTTCTGCAAATTCCCATACCTTTTACAAAGATTGCCAGGAGGGAAGGGCAAATGTCTGTCATGCTACATTGTTACAATCTCGGTTTAGGCATTATGTCTGCTCTTTTAAAGGGCTGCTCTCTTCTGATCTTCCTAGTGTTCTGTAATTAGACAAGCTACCCATTTTTCTTCCACACTATTTGCAGTTTCACTGATTTATAGAAAAGGAGTAGAGCTGTTTATGACATACAAAATATAGAGCAGGTCATAAGCATGGATTACATACTAATGTTCCATATAGACCATTTGGATTACTAAAATCTTATTTAATAACATATAGGAAATGAAAGTATTGCTTGTAAATAAGAGTGAGGCACAGCCACAATTTCAGCCTTAGACAGATTCCAATTTCACTTTTTGAGCTATGATTTTTATTTGTGCTGCAGTGATGTAAGGACCTGCTTCCACTCACCGAAGTCATCGTCTCTGACACTACAGAGCACCTTCATCAAAACCATATTGCTAGCATGAAGGCAGTGAGGATGACCTGATCTCCAAGACATTTGGAGACATGCAGGGCACCCTAAAGAGACTAAGAAGCAAGCAAATAAATACTGCCTGGTGAAGGAAAGAATGACAGAATATGACTTTTCTACCATCTCTATTTAAATGAGAAATATATACCTGGCAGAAAAACCCAAAATTCAGAATACTAAAATAGATTAACTGCCAGCTTAACAATATTTTTCTACTCATGGGGACCATTTCCCATTTAAAAAAGTAAGATGAAGACCCTTCAGGAACAGTAACACATTTGGAATGCCAGGAATTAGCAACAGATCTTGCTGAAATCAGACCGGGCAGTGAAGAGATGCTATGTATGATTTTTGTAGTATTATAAAGAGCTTTTTTGTAAATAAGGACTAACCCCCCAATGAATGGTGTGAAAGCATTTTATCTTTAACACAGAAGCGAGACATTCATAGATAAGTAGAGCTGATGATATGGAATTATCATTACAATGTGTGAATAAAATGGTAAATCTACATCTTTAAAAATACCATTGTTTCCATTACTATGTGGATGTTAAATGCAAACATTACACTTAGTTTTACTCGTTTGCATAAGTATGTATTTATTTTTTATGCAATGCACCCCTGCAAGTCACGTTTTCTTCCTCATATATTTCTTCTCCCACCCAAAATATTAGATTTTTTTTCAACTTCTTTCTAGTTGTTTTTTTTAATCTTTTTCTAGTTTTCTGGGGTTGAAGATCTCTTTTTAAGGCTAGGGGGAAAAAAATCACTGTTTTCCATATTTTTATAAGATTAAAACATGGTTTACATTATGGGCCAAATACCAGTTCCTTGAAAATGAACTGTAGAAAAGTTCCAGTTTGGCCCATCTGGAACTCCAAATTCCAGCTGTTCATCCAAATACATGAAAGCAGTAAGGTTTAAAAATTGAGCTGGAAATTTCACAACTCTTTTGAGAATTATTTCATATTCTTCCTCCTATTTGATCTGAGATAAAAACTCTCTAGACATTTTTCAGCTTCTATGAACACAGTTTTTATTAGAGACAGATTACAAGCTCCATAAAACTGAAAAATAATGGGATATGATCAATGGGCAATTAACTGATTTCTTAAAAATATTTTTGAAAAGATAAGGTTCAAGTTGCAATTTCTTTTGTACAAATAAATTCACAAAAATGCCTAGCATTTTATTTCTGTTGGTACTATTACACAATATGCTTAAGATTTTTTTAAAATTTACAGTTACCAATTTACTCTGAAGCCTTCAATTTGTATGAACTAATAATGGAGTAGCAAAAGATGCCTAGCCTGTTGTCAGTAGAAAATGGTGCTGCTCTTTTGAAGGAGTGAGCAATGCCAGGAAATTGCATATGCTCTCTGATCCAGCATGGACAAGCATGTAGTTTCAGCAGCTTCCCAAGAGTTCTTGAGTTTTAATGTGATATGCATTAAGGGAATAGGCTGGAACTCTCATCATCTCCTGCAGTGTCTGCTCCTTCAATACATCAGAGACAAGGTTATGTCAAATGGGTAGACAGATTTGACAGAGATGGACAAGTTAAGTCAAAGTAAAAGAAAATTAAATGCAGGTCTTGTAGAAAAAAATCTTAAGTCCACAAGGCATGTCTGATGTACAGGTCATACATCCCAGCTGGTTCTTCTTGGTATTTCTATTTCTAGCAAAGTTTAAATGCAAGATGCATCTGAAATATCTCAGTCTTCATTTCAGCTGGCACAGCTTGAGTTGTTCATAATTGTCACCTTAAATCCAACAAAAACTGGTTTACAGTGATCAGTATTTGCAGCCATTACTAAACTCATCTATTAATTCAAGTATCAGAGAGCAATACTTGTACTTGATCTCCCCTATACTCTACTAGATTTTTTTGCAACCTTATTTCTAATTAAGCAAGATTCCTATTTACTGTTTTATTGTTCAAGAGGGTTTTTCAAGGAAAAAAAAAAGATGTTTCAAGAAGTTTTCAAACAAATGAAATGTTGTACCATTCTTTGGTGAGTCAAGTATGCCAGCTAGCTTGGATCCATTCTACACAAAAGGATAACAAGGTTAAAATTAGGTACAAATGGCTGCAGATCCAGTTTGGTCTGAACAAACAGCATAAGAGGAACAGCACAACTCTAAACAGACATTATAAGTCATCATCACCAAAGGAAATTTTTTCTTTTCCTGGCAGTCACAAAATAGCTTACAAGAGAACCCTTCTTACTTGGACCACAGGTTAGCAGCAATTAGAAATCATCTGTTTCAATTCTGAAATTACCTCTTCTCTCCTACAGGTCTAACTTACTAATTTGCTTTGATTGTTCAGTTTTCTCCTCAAGTTTTCAAAGGGCTCTACTAGGTAAGCTGCATTGCCTGGTGTTTTGAGAGTTTTAAAAATTACTTTGTCATCCTTGCCTGCAGAGCTCCTTGTATGCCTACACTCACATGATCTATTCATGGGTTTTTATTTTCCCTCCTGCAGAGGAAACCCAGTAACTAATTTTCCTTCAAATTTCCCTGTGAAGTTCCTAAGAGGTCTCCAACTTTCCTCAAATTTTGTTCACTAAACCACCAGCTCCTCCACTTATATTTTCCTATTTTATTCTTAGCTAATAGCTTCGTGATCATACACATGCCTAGAGAATGTATACATTCACTGGGCTTCTTTATAAAGGTAATAACCTGCAATGCCAAGGCTGGACTGAAGTGTCTCTAAGTACCCTGCACAACTAGATGTTCTCATATTTCACCAGAGCTCCTTAATAATTATCCAAGTAATGTCACCCTTTCTCTAAATCGGGTTTTTACTGCTTCCTACCAGAGGCTAACTAAAATTGCAAGTCAAGCCTTATACATATTATTTTGGGATTTCTGAAATCCATACAAATGAAGCAATACAGAAGACCAATAACAATGGCATGGTTTATGAGAAAAACAAAAAAATACTTCTCTCAGAAACCACAAAAAGCTCTTGATTGATGTGTGGCAAGTACATGACAACTTGGTTCAGACCCTGATTTAGCCTAACCAGACTCTGTCTTTAGTTTTGGTTAAACAAAAATGATTTCTGCTCACACTAGCAGATGGTTTTGTTACTCAGCCCAGCAGGGAGGCTACAAATTCAGTGCTTAGAAAGAAGCTTGATTTACTGGGAACCTATAGCCCCCTAATATCCATGTTTTGTAGCACATTCATCATTGCAGCATTCGAGGTTGCCACACACTCCAATTAAAATGAACACAAAAAAGAAGCCTGTATAGATCTCACATCATTCTCTGGATTGTGCTTTGACAATGATGCTTTGAGAAGGCCAAAGGGAAGAAAAACATTTTCTTTTTCACTGTAAAGGCAATAATGATAGTACTCATTGATCTCACTGGAAGTATACTGAATAAGAAACAATTTATAAGAAGGCCCTTGATCCTGAATTTGCTAATATGATCTTAGGCTTTATTTTAGTGTTAACCTTACCTGTTGAATGTGCTCTTCAAGTGTGATGAACTTGGAGGATAAAGTTTTAAGCACTTTAAAATTAAGGACAACAAGGATCTTGATGCTCTTCCACAAGGGTAACAAAATATGGTTCTAGCAGTCAGTATCTGCTATAGTGAAGTTTGATACCTAATTGTTTTGTAAACACCAAAATTTTTATTTAGTATAATATATCAAAGATTATTTGCAAAAGCCTTTAAAGATTATCAAGGAATTGTGAGAAAATCACTGATGATGTGCCTGCAATAATTCTTCAGTAATTCAGCAGATACTTGTTATTTAATTGCAGTATGATATTTGCAAAAGAAAGAATTAAAGCAGAAACAAATATAAAATTAAGAGCTGTAGGTATACTTTTTCTCCCCTGTAACCTAAGCAATCTACCCTGACATTTTCTTTTTCTAAGATCGGAACAAAACCATCAATCCTGGGTTTTTAAAAAAATCTGAGAACAACTTTGTACTGTGTAGTGGAAAGGTTTTGTTCATGATTCAGACTGACAGAGACCAGATAACATCCATGCTTAATTAAATGTCCTTTTGCTAAACCACTGAATTTGCTTTCTGCTCTGCTTCACAGATGTATAATTCAGAAGAAAGGCTACATGAGTATGAAATTTGTGCTGGCAGTAAGTTCTATATCATAATTCTGAATATACTTATGGAATAAAGGGATGTTACCACAATGGTAACCCTATCTCCACTATTCACTCCATCTGTTGGCATATGTGTCAGGAAGGATGAGCCCTGGAACAACCACGACCTTACAAGTACATGGAAAGAAGAAAGAGAGATGGAGTCAAGTAGGTAAATACACATGCAGTATTGATAGGAGGCTGCTGGTTTCTTAAATGGCAAAATAGAGTGAACGTGAAATCAAACTGATTTCTACTCCTAAACAACAGATATTCAGTCATGCAAACTATGCAAAAGTAAGTAGTTTTAAATTGTTAATACTGTTGTCTACAAAGTCTTCAGGTAAGTTTTCATTCAGGACTACACAAATTAATACAATTTTCCTTCCCATCCCTTCAGCATCTTCTCAGTACTGCAGACTTCACACAAGGCAGTGAAAAGTTTAAACAATATCCAATCTGAAGCCCCTTGTGGCAATTCTTTTAGAGGCATTTCCAAATTCACTTGCCATAAATTCTCATAGCTCTGCATATTGGAGGTTGCATTTCTAACACATTACCAGCTGGGAAAACACATGCTGTAACTGTCTTAAAACAGGGTTTCCATTTCTAAAGGATACCCATGCTAGCAAAGATGGTATTCTGAACAATATAACCATAGTTAAGCTTAATGGGATTTACAGATATTTAGTATCTGAAATGAAATTATTTTAGAATGGAAAAAATCAAAATAGATGGACTTCTTATTCTTTAAAATAAGCTATAGCCCTGCAACCTTAGATGGGACTATTATGTTTTAGTCATCAGTGTCTACTTAAATATGCTCAAATTATACCTAGGCCTGGCTTTCAAGAAAACTCAAATATTTACTATGTTATTGCTCTGTTTTAAACAGAAAGAAAGCCAAATCTGTTTTAGGAAGTCAGACACTCCACGTGTAAGTTTAAAAATCTCTCTGCAAATATGAAAATTGTGTCTCAACAGTAGGACAGAGAATAACATAATACTACATATTGTTTCAGTCTTTTAAAATCACCACAGTATCATAAATGCTGCCAAGAGATAACTGGCAGTAGCTGGAGACAATTTTCAGGGAGAAAGCTGAGATGCTGTTTTGCAGCAGTAGGCAGGGGAAGCTTGGCTAACCCTGTATTCACAGAAACATGTGTTTTCTTCAAAAATATGCTTCCCTTAGAAAAGGCGTTCTGCATTCTATTGGATTTGCTTGGCAAGGCTTTGATAGAGAGGGTGCTACAGGCCTGACTTCTCTGAGAAGCTCTCAGAAGCCTCCCGGATGGAGCCAATGCCAGATGGCTCCAACACAGACCCACTGCTGGCCAAGGCTGAGCCCATCAGCAAAAGGGGCAGTACCTCTGGGATAATGGAGCTAACAAGAGGGGAAGAAAACAAAACATGAGCAGCAGGCAGAGACAGGAGTCAAAACACTGAGCAAAACAGCTCTGCAGACACCAAAGTCAGTGCAGAAGGAGGGCGAAGATGTGCTCCAGGCACCAGAGCAGAGATTTTCCTGCAGCCCCCAGTGTAGATGCATGGTGAGGCAGCTGTGTCCCTGCAGCTCATGGAAGACCACAGGAATGTAGAGATCCACAGGCAGGACCCCACACTGGATCAGGTGGGTGCCTAAAGGAAGTTGTGATCCCATGGGAAGCCAGTGCTGCATTAGGCTCCTGACACGACCTGCGGAGAGAGGAGCCCCCACTGGAGCAGATTTGCTGGCAGGACTTGTGACCCCACAGAAGGGACCCACACTGGGACAGTTCATATAACCTGCATCCTGTATGAAGGACTCCAGTTGGATAAGTTCATGGAGGAATGTCTCCCATTGGACAGACCATGTGCTGGAGCAAGGGAAGAGTGTGAAGAACCCTTCCTCTTAGGAGGAAGGAACAGAAGAGACAATGAACTGAAAATAACCTAAATTCTCTGTCCACATGTGCCACTGGGTGGACAAGTAGGCAATTTGTGAGTAAAAATAAAGCTAGGAAGCAGGAAGGGGTGGAGGATGAGATTTTCAAGATGTGGGCTTATATCTCATTATCCTGATCTGATTGACTAAGAATCAGTTAAACTCATTTCCCTGAGTTAAGTCTATTTTGTCCACAATGACAATTGGCAAGTGATCGCTTTTTGTCCAACCCAAATGCTTTCACTGTATTTTCTCTCCCCTGTCCAGCTGAAGAGGGCAGTGGCAGAGCAGCTTTGGTGGGCAGCTGGCATTGAGGCAGGGTCAACTCACCACAGACATTCAGAGACTCTTGTGTTCTGGAGATAATAAACATTTTAGATCAACACTTATTCCGACTATTAAAACATCTAATGCAACAGCGTCCTTCAGCAGAAATTCTAAAGGACAGCATTTAAATAATGTTTCTGTGGTTAGTTTCTTGTCTTGACTCATTTCTGCTCATAGAAAGAAGATAGGGAGATGAAATAGGAATCCTCACCTAATTTTGATGGATTTATGTATCCTCTCATGGGTTGTAAAGTGTTATTTTGATGCTGGTACTTATCAGACAGCATGGTAGCCATTAATAGCTAGAAGGGATTTTCTCCAGTACTTTATTTAATTAGGGTATTTTACAGGAATTACATAAAAACTTAGCACCTTTTAAATTACTAAGCTGAACGAAAGCAAACACCACTGAAGTGAAAGAAAGAACACCTTTTGACTTTATCAGAAATTTGATTTCATATATCATATATCCCATTCTGTTTCACTTACTCATTAATGACATTTCCATATTTTCTTATTAATATCACATTGCTAGTGATTTTACAAAAGCAATAATAACTGTTAAATTAATTTAGCATGAGCTAGCCTTGTGAGGCTACAGCTGTTAGAACCATGCTGAAACTCATGGGTCTTAAATCATAGAACCTCTTTATGAGTGCAAAAAAGAAAATCTACTGAAAGTGAACACAACTGCTCACTGTCTACAATTTGCTACAGAATCATCTGCAGATGAAAAAGAAGCAAGGTCCCTGCTTTGCGACGCTATTCTGCTTCTTTGTCTCACAAGGCATTTAGGAGTGTTAAAATATGGTCACTGCAGGTATGCAGTTAAAGAGCACAAGCTAAAATGCACTACATCCTTCTCCCAGTGCTCTCAGAGAGAAATAAAGCGGCCTTGATTCTCTATTGCTCAATCCTTCTTAGTTTAAGCCTTGGTAATTTCAAACTACTTTACCCCTCAAAGAAAGAATCCACATTGGGGTTTAACGTACTTGGGTTCTGACATAACCATGACTTTGAAACCGCTGGCTGAAATACCTTACATAAGAGGTAATTAATTATTATGCCATTACTCACTTATTCGGACTATTAAAACATCTAAGGCAACAGGGTCCTTCAATAGAAATTATAAATGACAGCAGCTTTTCACAATGTGTTACAATGTTCAACAGAATTGACTTTTGACCTATACAAAAGACTAAGACTTCTTCTGCCAAAATTTTTTGGCAGCCTGTCCAGACTTACTCCTGCAGCAAGAACAGTGTGCTTTCACATCTATTCATTAAGTCCTACTGTGAGATTGCTGTGTGTGAGGAAGCAAGAACAGACATTTTAAACCATTTTACTCACCATAACCAATTGTTGAAATAATCTGATTTTTTTCTCATTATTACAGTTCTCATTTTGAGCAAAGCTCATTGGTGAAGACTGAATGCAGCAGCTGACAAAGAAGCTAAGTCAGCTAACTAGTTATTAGCACTTCAGCAGATCTCAACAACACCAGAAAAAGTCAGAAAAATTAGCAAGAGCTAAAAGATGATTTGTGCCATTTTGTTACAAAACCAGTCACTCTAAGGACTGTTGGCTCTTTGAGGAAAAAATCCATAGCCTTAAAGCTCAACACAGAAACAGCAAAGTTTCTGTGGAAAGCAGCCACTCAGATACAATAAAAAACATCCTGGTATTTACTTCTTTAATACAATACACTTTTTCTTTTGGATGGTTAACTTACTAGACTTGCACTGGCATTTCTGAAAAGGGTTAATTAGCTTTTGCTACAAAGACACAGGGAAATCCTGCTCAGCCAATACAAGACTATCCTTGAAGATGTTCAAATGAAACACCTTTGGTCAAGAAATACATCTCTTTTTGTCTAAAAAGGAAGTTAATTACTAAATTATATGGTGATGTGGACCATGATACATGGAAATATGAACAGGTGAATGCACAACTCAATTGCTGCTTGACACTATCCAAGGAGGGGAAAAAAAGTGATCACTCTTGAAATTAGTGTTTTAGGGCCATACAAAATGATGCAGCCTTTTAATACACTTCCTATTGGGCAACTAGCAGCAAAACTACAGCTTTCATTGCTGTAAAAGCTTTTTGAAATGCACTAATGACAAAAATGTAGAGCTACTATGATCCACTGGCACCATTTAGATCAGTCTCTTTTAGAGCAGGTAACTCCCATTCAGTATTTTTTACTTATTTTACGTGCATTATGGACAAGAAGACACTATATCATATAAAATAATCAAAAATCCTTTAAAACAACTTGTTCAAAAGAATTATCCTACTGTACATTAAACTGAGGCAGGGAAGGTTGAAATAGTTACTAGCTGCATCTCCACTTAGTTGTTGATTCAGAAATAGAATCTCTTTATTCAATGAAAGCACAGTTCCTTCCTGATTTAATGCCTTTGTTTCAAAATTGTGCCATCAGGTTTAGCTTTGTGCTTGAAAGAGAAAAGATGAAAAGGTAAGTGAAAGTAAAAAAAGTTTTGAACCAAATTAAAAATGTAAACTCCAGTCAGACAAGATTGTATTTATTGCTTGAACAGAAACAGGCACAAAATCACAGCATGCTTAGAGTTCACTGACCAGAGCTCACCTGCAAGTGTTTCTCAACATCCACAATCACAACAAGGTTCATCCATACTGCTGTCCTATCCTGGCCTGATGCATGGCCCATGCTTTTGTCAACTGATAGATATTTCTGTACGTCTAGGACTTCTGCTTGTTCTGATATAGCTGTCTGATAAAAAATGTAATTGTGATCTTTCGTGTCCCTAATTCAGGAACTTTAGAATAAGTTTACAAAGCAATGCTATAAAAACTAGAACATCAGGTTTTCAAGACAGATGCTCAGAATACAGGAGAATCATTTTCATAAATTTTTGTAATATCAGGATAGATTTTTTTTTTTCTCTTAAACAGCTAAAAGTTTACATGAAATTTAGGCCAGAAAATGTGACACAGACCAGTTAGAAATCATTACAAGTGTCACATTTATTAGCACACTTAACCCAGCTAAAAATGAAGCAAGGAGAAGGGAGACAACTACTCCACTAGAAATACTCAAACTTGGTTATTATTTGTAAATAAAAAATATCATCCTACCCATTTGAGCCTATGTTGTACAGTTTATACAGCTGTACAACACACTGTGTAAGAGTTACAGCCAAGTGAGGGCTTCAGTACCCAGCCTCATCACCAGCTGGGATTCAAGTCAGAGCTGTGATGTGCCAACCCGTGACACTCTGGAACTGTAATTAGAAGGATCTGTCTACTGAGGAATGTTTACTCCATGACAAGAATGTCACCATAGGAGATGAGAGGGCACATCTAGGAGCCAACTGTGTGCTTTGCCAGGCAGTAGCAGCACACTACAGGGTACAGTGGATAAAATCAGATGAAATATGCCTTTGTAAAAATGAAATAGAAAACGTCAACTCCAACAACCCTGGAAAGTTGAAAATGAAACACTATCTGGGGTGGTGGCATTACTGATAAGTATAATCCTGGATGAGCCAGAGACTTATGAAAATTCAGAAATATTGAACAGTGAGAGGAAAGTACCAGCAAGCAAGTATAAGTATTGACTGCTCTGCCTTCATCATGGTGTGCAAACTCTCTGCATTTCATGGAAATTGCCTTCCTGGAAGTGTTACTTGAAAACTACTAATATCAACTGCCCCCTGCCTACCTGATACACAATATTATATCAACAACATCAATAGGGTAGGAATTGCTTATTAAAATCAGCAGGGAAGAACAGGGTTTTCACTCTTTTCACCAGAGGGTAAATCAGGTTCATTTAATGGGTGTAAATGAGCTTAGAAAGAGACCAGCTGCACATGCATTGAGAGGCTTATCATAACATAAATGAGGTGTTTATTCATAAAATTTTAATTGCTATCTCATTGCTTTGCTCCATTTTCTAAGTAGTTGCACACATATACAGATACTGAAATCAGAATAACTCAGTAGATTATTTGCTGTGACTTTCTCTATATACTAGGCCTTAAAATTTTACTCAGCTATCTTATTTTAATGAAAAATGTTGTCTGCAATTCACACTTGAATAAACATAACTTCTGTTGGGCTAAAATTTATCTGGCAGGTCAACATCCAATTTTGAGTCAAGACATGAAAACTGAAGAGCTATCAGTTTTCACAGAATTTTGTTCCTGCAGTTACACCCTTCCTTTAAAGTTATTTCACTAATTTGAATTGTTTTGCTTTGGCTTTCTACAATGAGCTTTCATTTCTCTGCTGTTTTAAAGACCTTTCTCATATTAAATATTTTCTGCCCCAAGAGATACCTATACAACGGCAGTCAGATTATTTTTTTTACATAAAAGGCAAAAATCTTTAGCATCCTAAAGTAAGAAAATGCAATTCTTCAAATGTTGGTGTATACTGAAGAAAATCTCAGTCTTAACCCAAATAGTTTTCAATTCCTGAATAACCCAAGTGAACTAGCAATAGCTAAAGGCTCAATGAAAAAAAAAAGCTCAACTTGCCTTTAATTTCAGCTAGCAGCCTACTTTTTTTTCCCCAAACACCCCTATCAATTTTGACACTTCTACTTTTAACTTTTTAATCTACTCCGCTGGTTTTGCTCAAATTATCTAGCTCAGATTGGCTGACCCAAATTAAGAAAAGACCTTTTCCTTTACTCTCAGAATTGCACATTAAAGAAGTCTGAGAGGAGACTGGAGCAGGGCAGAGCCCTTTGCTATTCTTGCTTCCAGCAACACTACTCTGACTCCCTCTGATAAGGCAGATGTGACCGTACCTGAGCATGACCAGGACACATCCCAGTCCAACAGTGCCTACAAGCAATGAAGTGCTAAACTGTAATCTGGAATAGTCAAAACACAGGCAAATGGCCCCTTCTCTCACTTCTACCAACAAGATAGGGGTGTCTGGCAGAAGGGCAGACAACCGGGAGCATTAAAGTTTCAAATTATTGCAGCTAAAACTCCAGTCTAATTGCTGACTACCCAGGGTGCCACACAGTCCTCACAAAAGCTCAAAAGTATGATATGTACTTTTTTTCACTAATTAAGTTGTCCTGTTCCCTCCAACTCACACTTTTCTCACACTTTTTTCATCAGGGAGAAATTAATCAAAAGACAGTTGAAATATACACATCTGCAGAAACCATACATTCAAAGAGAAGGCTCTCCTGTTTTAACTCAAGGTTTTAGGTGAAGGAAAGGATCATTGTTAATGATGACTTCAATTAAATTTATATAGTATCTCTGGGGAAATTTCAAGCCATATGCTGAAATCCTTTTAATGCTAATGGTATAACTCGTTCTTCTGTCAAGGCTAAAGAAGATGCTTATGCCTCATACTTCTCTGTTGGAGGACAGAATGTACCAAAAGTGTTGTGTGAGAGGGAACAAAAGGACAAAGTGATCACATTATTAGCAAAGATGTACGATTTTCAGCTCTAGTAATTAAAAGGGATGCCACACAACAATGAGAAAAAGAGAAGGGTTTGACAATACATGGTCAATGTTTATGTATGTTACCAATCAGTGAAAACCATTGTAAGTGAAAGGGAAACTACGCTGAAAATCCAAAGACAGTTAATTAAGCTCTTATGACCTTTAAAGCAATTGTACGGGCTGCACACAATGGAGAGGCTCACTCAACAGCTAATTGTATCGGTTTCAGCAGAGTTATTCCAGGGACAGAGCTGGTCCACGTTGTCAGGTAACTCACAGCCATAGTTTGCAACAATGGACAGCACATCCAAATACTCTGCATGGAGAGCAGTGAGAAATGTTATGCCACAGGATTCATATTATCCAAGCTGAACCCTGCATAGGCTACTACAATAAAAGGACTAAAACAGCTAAATACATCTCCATTATTTTAGACCATAAACCCTATGCACCATACACCCAGATTCTTTTCAATAACAAGATGTCCTTCCTATTATTAATTTTCTTTATACTTGACAACAAAGAAGAGCAGACCTATTGTTTTTTTCTAAATAAAATATCTTAGAAGCTCTCTCAGGACATGAAGGAAGATTTATTCAATTTGCTTCTAAACAGCTTGTTTCTTTTCCCATGACAAAAAGATAGTTTCTCTTTCAAGTATTGCCACACACTCTTTTGCTCTGGCCTTCATTCTTGGTCAGTTGCATCTCTTACAAATCCTTTGGGCTGCCTTCACTGACAAGTACCATTAAGTGATAGCACTATTAACCCACAGTCAAGGGCACTTAACAAGACTTTTTCTAAATAAGACACTTTTGATCTTAAACAACACTTATCAGCTAACATGTCAAGAAGAACGTAATGCATATTTTAAACATGTCCCACAGCTGATAGTCTCCCCCAGCAAACACAGCCAAGAAAGCAAGCTTTGCCCAAGTAGCATGGGGTATGTAATCAAAAGGGAAGAAGACAGAAAATAATGAAATCAACAGGACAATAATATGCTGCCAATATCAAACCATCAAATTAAGCAGTTTCCAAATGGAGAAATTTTAAAAAAGAGCCAAAAATGTATCCATTTTAGTCTCATCAAAATGAACTCTTTCAGGAGTTTGAATACCAAATTCTCTTGACAGAAAGTGTAAATAATGTAGGTTCCTTTTGTGGCTTTATCATCAAATCTTATCACAGCACATACCACAGACAAGACAACCACAATACACAAGGTATAACCATACCATTACACAATGCTGCAACCCATACAGACCAACACCATATCACATCAGAAGGCTTCAGGTACCTACCCATACAGAGTAACACCACACCACTTCAGAAGCCTGACAGCATCTGCCCTTGTCCTTCAGCCCAGCCTTTTATCCCCTCATGCTGATGCACTGCACCTGTGTGCCCTCTGCTCCCTTTGGAGGTTGGTCAGTGCCCTGGGCACTCCAGGGCTCATTGCTGTCACTGCTGCTCACCTGCTGCTCACAGCTGCACCCACTGGGGATGAGGTTCAGCCACAGCCCCACTCCCAGTGACCACAAACTGCATGCCTACAAAATTCTTGTCATCAAATATAAGACATATTTCATTATCATTCTTAAGTGCAAACTGGCCTAAAATTTGTCACTCAGTGGACGTAGTTAATATATGTGTGTGTGTGAGAGATAGGAATTAGACTGCTAGTATATTTCCAAAACATATGTTGCCTACTATTCTACTTATTGCACACTTCATCAAAGCCTATCTGCATCCATTTTTTGGGAGGACGAAACTCCCTAGGTTTTAGAAAATGTCTTTTCTTACCTCCAGTGATATTCCTGATACTTATATCTGTGTCCATTTCCTTTTCCCCCACTTGCAGGACTAGAAAAAAATCTTGACAATCTACGACAACTATTTTAAAGACATGTTTGGTGTCCCCATTACTTGCCCAGTTTTGTCACGGAGAGACACCGCTTCTGAAGAAAAGATGCAAGTGGCAGTAGGGAAATACGAACTTTACCAAACTCCCAAACTCCCAGACTAAGGAGCTGCTCCCCATCCCCTTTCTTATATGCTAATTGTCTTTCATTATCTCACAGCTGGGGATGAAGTTCAAGTGCATAGGACAAGTAGCTATTGTTCAGTACAGGAAGACATTATTTATTATTTTACAAATAGCAGTGTAAAACTGCAGGATGATTTTGCATTAAAAAAGAGAGGTTTAGACCAAAAAATTATTTTTGCCAGATGATTTATGGTTGCCTGAGCATACTGAACCTGGTCATCTCATCTGTATACACAATGACACAATCTTGGAAAATACAATGATTTTCTTCTTTTCCCCTCTTTTTTTTTTTAATCCTATGCATTCTCCACATGTATGGGACACAGAAGGGAGCTGAATTGTTTTCCCTGGTATCATAAATTTTCTTTTTTCTACCCTTGACATTCTTGACTTTATAACTTTCAAGTATAAGGATGCAAAAGAGCAGAGTCCAATGCACAGCTTTACAACCACATCATATAAAAAAGGTAAACTCTGTTTTGAAGACCTGTCCAATCAAATATGAATTTGATCTGGCACTCTGATTGGAACACCTGAGTATTCCAAAGTAGTGTGTATTTCTACCAAGGAATAATGCAGTTGCTCCAGTGCCAACACTGTCATTTATCTTACATTTTTCTTCAGTCTTCCTGTTGTTCAAAGCCTATATATTATGTGTGTATATATGGATAAAAAATAATTTCTAATCTCCCTTAATTTAAGGTTAATGCAACTCTTCAGCATTACTTACTTATGGTGTGCTCTCCATTTTGTCCCAGGAGCCTTCCTCATACCTGTCTCAGATTTGATTCATCTTTCTTGAACACACATAAGTTCCTATTCTCCTTCCTAAAAGTAGTATTTATGTAAATACAAAAAGATATCCAAGGAATAGCTAAAGGATTAGGAAATTATACCAACACTACACTGTCCTTCCTTATAACACTGAACATTCCTTTCTGAACAGCTAAGGAACTTATTTCAACTACCAACAAGAAGCTGAATGAATTATTCATCACAGATCAAAATTAAAAATTCTTGACAATATTTGGAAAGGAGAAAAGTGGCAGTCAATGTGCATATTTTCCAAAAGCTTTGTGGGGTTTTGGTACCATGGATAGCCAAAAAATGGGAGTCAGTTGAGCATCAGAGCTCAAATTGCTACACTTTAATCAAAATTCTTGGGGGTTTTTTATGTTGTGTGTAATCATTATAGTGTGCTCTTAAACCTTATGCAAAGAACACATAGATTACCTGCTTTTTAGTTATCTAACTTACATCAACATGTGGTACTAAATACTAAAATGGTGAATATGGTACACAAGCGCTGGTTTCAAATAGAATTGCTGTTATAAAGTCAGTCATCTCAAGAAAGAACAGATAGATGTTTTTTTAATAGACTCTCCAATAATCATCAACAAGGAGAATGGATCCATTGCTGTACTAAATGAAAAATAACATGTTCATTGAAATCCAAAGTATTCCTGTTTTTTCAAAGAATTTTTTGGAATAAAGATTAGAATTAAGACTTTTGAGGTACTAAAGGCAAACAAAAGTTGAAGAGAACAGCCTAATGTATGCCAATGACTAAACAATGCAAGCAGTCCTCTGAAACATCTTTCAGCTACAAACACATACTATTTCCAAAGGAAGATGAAATCTGGTTTTCTACATTCCCCTTTAAGGTAGGTAGCAAAAAGTAAAGACATTATGAAGTGACAACTTCCACTAATGACTTGAGGATATTAGTGATTATTCACAATCAAGTCCCATTCCTGCAAAACAACTTCATGGTAGGAGAAGTTGTCCCATCTTTCCATCTGCCATGGAGAATGCTTGATGGATTAACGTTTATTTATTAGCCTATACTTTTGTAACTGAACTGGACAAGGTCTCCCAGAAAACCTGCAATTACACAAGAATTTGGTTTTTTCTGTGCATGGACTTTGGAGTACATTTGGAAAGGTAGAATTCTGAGGCAGAGACTAATGAGTCATACTGGAGGACAGTGACAAACGGGACCACAGGGATCTGTTCTGGGATGTGTCACATTCAGTGTCTTTATCAATGAGCCTTTAAAAGGATGGTGTTTTTCAGGGAGCCAAGATTGTGCAATTCTCTGGGCCTTTTGTTTTGACTGAAAGAGTAATTTCTGACAGATTATGGAGACAATCTGTTTGGTTTGGGCAGAACCATCAGAACAATGACTGCACTGCAATGTACAGGTGAGGAATTACAATACCCCTATACCAAGACAGCACATCCAGCATGACTGTAACTGTGCCAAGAAAACTCTGCTTTGTACCACAGCACAAGCCCCACATATCTGTGAAATTAACTCTCCTCTGTTGTAACAAGTTTATACTAACAGTTCCAGTTAGCCTCAGAGATTACACAATTTCAGTCTTAGCTGACATGATTGCGTCAATAGATTATTTACTGAGATGCACAGATGCTTATGTAGAAAAAAAAAGAGAAATGAGAGCGCAATGTGGAATAATCCACACAAGAAGATCAGGAAGAACACAAAAAGTTTAAGAATAAGTTGCCTAATGCAGCCAGCCAAAAATACTCAATGAGGTTCCAGTCCTGAAAGGTTTTGGACTCTTTGGAGAGCTGTCTTAAATCTCCTTGAGTTTTGCAAGTCACATGGTCCAGCACCTTAAAGTAATAAACAAACATATTCAGAACCCTTATCTCAGAAGAAATTATACCATTAACATTAAATTTATTTTCCTTCAATATGCACTTGAAAAGTTGTTCTGCAGAGGGAAATCATGAATACTGACTGAGTTATCAGGCTGTAAAAGCTGTCCAAAAAGCATGAACACAAAGCTGATCATTTACTGGTTTCGATATAAATAATAATCAGATTAAGCATTGAAGTACATGAGGATAAAAACAACATAATGGCAGTCTATCAAAACTGTCACAGCCTTCCAAAGCTGCCTTCTGGGCTGGAATAAAGAAGTCAAAAGAATGAATAAATATAAGTAGGTTTAATCCTTGCTCAGTGCTTTAATCCAAACAGAAGCTCCATACTTGTAAGAGAATTAGCCTTGGTGATGAAGATTTACAGTAGCCAGAAATTTTTTTCATATATGAGAAGGGATCAGTACAGCTGAAACTAATTATTCCATGTGAGGATAATTATGCAGAAATAAAAAATGGGGCAGGTCAAAAAGGAAAAGCCAAAACTAAAGAATGCTATCAATACTTAAAGGCTACTGAGAAAACATCCTGTGCTTGTGATACCTTCAGGACTTGCACGCTTCACAGGTACTCGGGCTGGTATGTCTCAAAATCAAAGTAATAGAGGAGAAAACCACACTAATTGTATCACCTTGATGAGCAAAATATATGTAGATTTCTATTTGATTGGACTCTGTAAGAACATACCAACCATTCTATAAATGTCTATGAAATATCTTTTAGAAAAAAGAGGAAAATATAATGTTTGCAATTCCTAAATAATACACAAAATAGGTGAATTCAGTATAATGTCTCTACAGTTTTTACAAGTCTTTTCATCTCTTCATTTCTCCTTGTTTGTCCATAATCTGGAAGATCTGTATTGAAGTGATGAACTGAAGATAGCAAGTATCTATTAAAAATGAATCACATAAACCTCATCAGAAAGCTTTGTGTGGAAAATTTACTGTCTTTGATAAGTCAACTCATATCCCATCAGAGATGCCATAGAGCTATCAATTAATTAATAATTAAGCAGGAAGTCAAATACCTGCCAAGTTCAGAGAGAGGAGATTAATTAATTAAATTAGATAGTAATGAACTTAGCAGGAAAACAGAGTGATTAAAAGAATAATGAAGGAAGAGAGAGGAACTGAAATTATTAAAATTGAGGTGAGAAATAGTGGTAAAATAAGATGTATAGGGCTAGAAGAATACAGCAGAGTAGGGTAATAATTAGGGTAGTAATTAGGATATCACTCCAAATTTCATAATTTTGCTAATACATTTGGTACAAAAAGGAATAAGAGAGAAATCTGCCAAGGAGATGTGGTGACATCTTAGAGAAAGTTTGCTTATGCAAAAAGACACCAAAAAGGCAAAAAGGAAGAACTGAATTACACTGAATACCAGAGAAGAAAACATGACAATACAACAGGAAAACATGCAAGGCTATACAGTTCTGAATGAATAAGAACTATTTATTCATTCAAAGCTGTTCAATCTTATATTTGAAACTACACTAGAAGGAAAAAGACCTGAGTATAATATACAGTCATTGGAGGACTGTGAAAAAGTGGCATTATTTGGATATGGAAACAGTCAAATGTGGAATGTGTAAGAGAGGTA